CTGCGTAGGCCCCCAACCTGTTAGTAACATTCACTGAGATCTAAGTGGAGGTCATAGCTCTTGCATTCTGAATTTCTCCAAAATTAGTGCCACTTGATCACTGCCAAGGTTTACCAATTGTCCCTGCCACAGTGGTGGATCAAGCTACAGCTGGGCCTGATCAAGTCACAGTTGGGTGTATATGTGCTGTGCTGGATTATAGGGAGCAGGGACGAAGGTGGCACTTTGGTGGGCAAAACTGGACTGTTACAGGAAGGGTAGCCTCAAAGACCTCTGAAATGCCTTCAGGTTCTTTTTTCTTAATTTTCTTGATAACTATTGCCTGGCCATCTTCTATCCATGCTAATCTTTTTAGTAAGGGGAGTTCACTTGGCCATAGTTTTGGTTTACTCTCAAACGACCAGGTAGTGAATTGTCCCAATTTTTCTATTTTGCTTCTCATTTAATTATGAATTCCATCTTTAAGTCATTTCTTTCCTCTCACTTCTTACTGTATGCAGTTAAAAGTAACCACACAAAATTTTTACTTAAAAATTCTGATAGATACCCATTACATTCTGCATTCCATAGTCTTAGGACATGTTCTTTGCAAAGTTCTGCCATGTTCTTGGTCTTTACTACATTTTCCAATTCTTTGTTTCTTATTTCTGTATGAGACCTCATCACAATGCCATATACTGTCCATAATTCTACCCACATTCTAGTTATACAACCACCACGTGTAATCTCTAAGAAGAGTCAGACTTTCTTTACAGCTCTCCTCTTCTGAGCCCTTACCAGAACTGTCCTTAATGTCCTGTTCATGGAAATCTAGATATTTTCTAGTCTGCATCTGCAAATTCTTTCAGTATCTATTCATTACCCATCTCCAAAGCTGTTTCCACATTTTCAGGTATTTGTTAATAGCAACAGCCTCATTTCTTGGTGCCAATTTTTCTGTCATAGTCTGTTTTCTACTGCCATAATAGAAAACCACTGACTGGGGAAATTATAAATAATAGAAGTTTATTTGACTAAACCATTCATGAAGGCAATGCACCCATGACCTAATGACCTCTTAAAGGTCCCACCTTTCAGCACTGCTGCCTTCAGGATTAAATTTGCAACACATGAATCCTGAGAACACATTCAAAGCAAAGCAGAGTATATGTGCTGAAATTAAAATGGCATGAAAGAAGGTGGTACACAGTGAGTACAATGCCTGAAAACAGAATTTTTAATGTATGGAAGTCATTAGCAATGACAAAGGCTGCTTTCTGAAGTAGAGACAGTCTTGTGAGACTCAGTTCTTTACCTGTGGGGTCTGGGCCAATACCAAACAGTTAATGTCAGAAGTGAATATAATTGTTTGACACCCAGTTGGCGTTGGAGAATAAAAAAACTGGTTGGTGTGAGGAAAAAAAAATCTGTCAGTGATAATAAGGTTAGAAGTTATGATGATGAGTTATTTAAAAGTCATATATTTCTGGATATGAGATAAACAGATACAATATATAAAGGCATTAGTACCTTTCAGAACAAATGGTTATCAGTTCTAATGAGTATTTTTTAAGTGTTAGACTTATAAAATGTTAACAGAAGTGATGTTGTAAGTTACATGGCTAAAATTCCATTCAAGATTTAATGTCTTCGCACAATTATTTAAAAACATTTCCACTGCCATCCTTATGACTCCCAAAATCTCAGTAAAAATAATTTTATTTTCAGAGTTGCCTTAATTCCTTAAGGTTCTTATCCAATCTCCATTTTCTTCTCTAGCATACCTCCTCTCCTGTATTAAAAAGAAATGGCACCAACAAAAGAACAAACAATGCGGCTACTGAGACCTATCTTAAACCCTTGCTCTCACTCCTTTTATCACAGGCTTTCTTCCTCCCTTTTATTTTCTCTAAGACCTGGCTCCATAAATGACCACTCCTTTGTCCTATACATTTACCCTACTCCTCTTTACTGGAAGTTGATTATAAACAAACTCATGTCTCTCTCTTCAAGAACAAAATAAGGACTGGGGTGTGGCTCAAGTGTAGAGCACAGGCCTAGCAAGAACAAGGCCCTGGATTCAAACTCCAGTACCACAAAAAGAAAAAACAAAAAAATTCAAACTCTCCCCCAATTCTATCCATTACTGCCTTTCCTTTCTCCTTCTTGATTCTTAAAATGCTCATCATTCAGTCTACTTCTTTACTTTTATTCACTTCTCAACCCATTGTAACATATTCCTATAACTCTGCTGATCACCAAAAGTCATTTACAGAACTGGAAGCATGGCTCGAGAGGTAGAGGGCTGCTCAGGACTACAAGAAAAAAAAGCCATTAATAATCTCTATACAGCCAAGCAGAATAGCTACTTTTTCATCTTTACCTTTCTGGATCTTTTCTTCACATTTTACATTGTTTATTACATTACTCCCTTCTTGACAAACTTAAATTCCTTGGCTTTCATAATGTTATTTGCTTTTGCTTCTTCAATCTCTAAAATTTGTTCTGATCTGATCTTGAATATTAATGTTCCCCAAATATTCGTCCATTAGTCACAATTGTTACCTTTCTATATCTTACTCAACAGAAAGGAAGGACATTTAAGTCAGTCAAGAAATCCATCAAAGATTTTGTGGCTTTAATTTATACCTTTAAATTATATTACATGTTACTAACTTCCACATTTCTAGCCCCTGATCACTTCTTTGAGCTATACACTCATAACCAGCTAGCAGTTGGGCATGCTTTACTTGAATATTTAACAAACACTTCAAACTCAACATGTCTAAAACAAAACACATTGTTTTTCTTCTTAAAGTGGTTCTTTATCTTGTATTTTCTCTTGATACATAACCATCCAACCAATCATTTAATCAAGAAATCTTGGGCTGGCAGAATGGCTCAAGCCATAGAACTCCTGCCTAGCAAGCATGAAGCCCTGAGTTCAAACCCCAGTACCACCACACAAGTCTCATTCATCTTTTCTTACTCCCTGTCCCTCACCATCCCTCCCCTACAACCACCTAATTACCCTTAAACAACTTCTTAAATTAATGTTCTATTTTCTATCTTTCCTACCTCTACTTTAATTTAGGACCCCAAAATCTCTTATTTGCACTTCTACAATAGCCTTTTATCTAATCACTGATACAAATCTTGGTCCCTCAATTTTCCTATAATTTGGTCAAGGTGATCAAATGTGCAAATGATCACTTCATTATCCTCCTTTTAATAGTTTTGCAATATACATAAAAATCTTTTTGTCAAGGCATACAGTACTCCTTTGACTTGGTTTGACCATTGCTTGACTTATTGGTTAGAACTTTCTATTTTCCAATACCTGCATAACTGTACTGCATTATGTCATTGTCTATGCACACTTCCTGTGATCTCCCCCGCCTCCACTTTACTATTGCTAAACCTCCAACACTCCCCTTGAACATTATCTTCTCTACAAAATTCTCTCTAAATTCCTCAAATGGGATGAATGCCTCTTCTTATTACTTCCACAATGCTATCTTCACCACTGTATTAACACTATGTATTATAATTATTTATGTAAATGTTTTTCTCCTTTATTAAATTATGAACTTGTTGAAGGTCCACTACCTAGTACTGCTTGATGCACAGGTACTTAATATTTTTCTACAAAGTTAAACTGAATTATCACTCAAGGGGTTTCCAATTTTTCCAGAAATATAATGCTGCAATAAACAGCTTTGTGAAAGTAATATTTTTAGTTTTTAAATTTTATTATGACAGAGTCAATGATAAAAAGATTACTGGATCTAAATTAATGAAGTTTTTGACTCTTTAATAATTTATGTTATTTTTAATATTTGATAAATCAAGAGGCAATCACTCAAGAACTTTTATGCTAGACATTTATATTTGGAATTTTGTGTCATGATATTAGTCATTTACTTCATGCCAATCCATGCCTTTAAGAATGAGTTGAACAATCAATTTGTGTAGCTACTACAACTAATATTCCACCTGTAACCCAATCTCAACAACACTAATTTTAGACTACACCTAAAGTGCATAGTGAGACTTTTTCTTTAAAGATTTAGAAGATATGAGTTCACCACTGATGGAATGTCAGTATTTTCCTACTGTTGGAAAAGGAAAAGCAATCTACTAAATATTTGGAAATGGCCAGAAGGAAATTCACATTGTTAAAGAGATGTATCAAACATAAAATTTTCATGACTCAATGTTATGCAAGGAAAAAGCAAAGATGTCATCAACTATATTTTCACTGTTTAAAAGTTACTTGCCTAATGATCTAAATCAAGAGTTGGCAAACTGTGGCCATCAAATCTGGCCCATCAGCTAGTTTTGTAAATAAAGTTTTATTGAAACATATTCATGCTCATTCATTTATGTATTGTCACAGCTGCTCTCACACTATAATGGCAGAGTGAGTAGATGCAACAAAGACCATACAACCTACAAAGTCTAAAATATCGACTATCTGGCTCTTTATAAAAACAGTCTGACAATTCCAGCTCTAAGTAATTAGAATGGGAAGCACATTTTTATCTTTTCTTGAAAAAAATACTCACACTAGAGGAAATAAATTGTACATAAAACCCGTGATTTATAGCAGTGTCCTATTTCTTTCATTTCCTTAATGATTCTTCTAATCAATTGTTTTCTTTCAAATGTATTTGTCCCAGTCTACCCTAATCATAGGTTTCTAGCTATCTTCTTTAGTGTCTTCTAGTATAGCTGACAAGAATAAATCTCCCTTCCAACCTGGTCTGACTCTAAAGATGTAAATGGTTCCAGAAAAAAAAAAATGAGTAACCAGGATAGATAAATGTGCATGCTTGGAGTGGAAGGAAGGGTTAAAAAGATAATGGATTATAATGTGATTAAAACAACCACACAAATATTTTAAGGGAGAAAAAAGTAAATAAAGGAATATCAAATTATTTTCAAAATATAGAAAATTAGCACATTTAGAAAGCATAACATCTATTAGCATCATTCCTTTAAGAAAGCCTTCTATTTACCTATCCAAACAGGCAAAGAGTCCAGATTTTCCTCCTACTGCACAAAGTACTTTGGGAGCGCAGCGAGGTCGTGTCATCAAGACTGTCTGATGGGAGAGTCTATGTTCAGGCATAAAGTGGTACTTTAGGGCTTCATTCAAAAGATGTTTACAAGTGCGATCATCACGAATAAGATGATTTGCTTCATATAGCCTAGTGAGAAACTTAACACTCAACAATGGTAATCGTACACTGTTTAGTAGCTGTGCTAAGTATTTTTGGCGTTCTTGTACATCATATTTTATCCAAGACTCTAATGCATAAAAAACAGTCTCTTCAGTAGCTACATTCAAACAGTCATTGGAGACAATTTCATCCAAATCAGCATGTGTAAGCTCAAAAAACTCTTCTGTCTGGCAAACAGCTTCAAAATTCTGGCATATATATTTAGTTGCTGCCAAATAAAGGTCATGACAACCATACGTCTCTGCAAAACGAGAAATTCCAATACAATTACCAGGATCAAGCTGGCTTTCAAGAAATGCACAACATTCTTTCAGGACAAGTTTTATCTGAAGTAGGTTTGCTGCTGGAAGAAGAGATTCAACTGTGTCCTGAGAAATGAAAACAGTCCCTGTGTAGGCATACTCCACAATGGCCTGGAGAGCAGTTTCATCAATGCACTGAAACTCAACCTCACTGTTCTCTTTTTCAGAAAGGTTTCCAGTGAACATAGCTTTGAAATATGGGCTGACGCTGGCAAGTACCACTTTGTGAGCGTGAATTTTAACATCCCCTACACGAAGAATGATGTCACACAGTTCATGATGCTGACGAAGGAGATTCAATCCCTGCAGAAGTTGTTCAGAATGTAAGTGGGCTAAGTTAGCAAGCATGTAGGTCGGGGATGTGTGGTCCATCTATGAAAAACAAAAAACATGGACAGTTATTTCAAAGTAATCATGCCAACAGGGTCCAGTGTTTCAACCAGTATAAACCAGATTTGTTGTTTACTTGCTTCCTGTTGTTGGTTTTTAAATACCAACACTGGAACAGAGGCTTTTAGAGTTAGAAGAGATTTAGCAATTGCAATTCAACTCCTTTGTTACAGATACTAGGAAATGGAGACCCAAAATATTACATAAGCTCTAAACCATAAAGGTTTCTGGGCAATAGACTTTTGGATTAAAACTTGCCAAATCTTTCATTCTTTTTCCCTTCACATTTTCAGTAAGCTATCACTGAAAATGCAAATGTGGAGAGAAAATCTGCTTAAAAGAAAATTAGCATTTTTTTTCTTATAAGAAGCAAAGACTTCATTTTATTACAGTACAAGGGCTGGGATAGATGGGAAGGTGTAAATGTAGCAGACAACTATTGCCCTGGTTAGGATTGCATGCCCATTCTGACGTCCATGAATAAGCCAAAGGTGCCACCACTCTGCATCATGGTGTTCTCCCCAATGCCACTGATCCTGAGTTCTACAGTGAGGGCAATACGACAGACACTCAATTCTTGATCATAAATTTAGATTATGCCTACTCAATCTACTTGCGCTTCTAGAAGGTGAAAAAATAAAAAGAAAAGAAAAGAAAGAAGATGAAAAAAAAAAGTGGAGACAGTAAGTACCATGGTAGGCTGAGAAAAGCTCTCCAAAAGACTTTTACACCCTAATCCCCGGAACCTGTGAATGTTGCTTTAAATGGTAAAAAAAGGGTTTTGCAGATGTGATTGATGATTTTGAAGTGGAGATTATATAAGAAGGTAGAGGAGGGGAAAGGGGGGAAGGAAAGAAAATTGAGGGGTAAAGAGGATGAAAGTATGCTGCATATATACATATGAAGACAGCATAATGAAACCCCTCAAATACTATTTGAAAAAGGGGGTAGAGAGAAAGAGAATAGAAATATAAGGGAGGGGCTGAACTTGTTCAAGGTACACTGTATGGATGTATGGAATTATCACAATGAAATCCCCTCATATTATTAATGTATAATAATTCAGAAATAAAATTTAAAAAAATAAGAAGGCAGAGGAGAGTTGACACAGAGGAAGAGAAGGTTCTGCAACTACAGAGGTAGAAACTGGAGTGCTGCAGTCATACATTAAGGAATGCTGGCAACCAGAAGCTGGAAGAGGAAATCCATTGACACTAATTGCAGAGTTCAGCACTGTGAAAGAGTAGATTTCTATTGTTTTAAGCAACTAATTGGTGGTAATTTGTTAAGACAGCCATAAGAAATTAATGTATGCATACTTCAAAATTGGTCATAGCCATTGTTTAGAACAGACAAAGGAGAACATAAGACATCTATAAAAGCTGTTTCCTCCCTGTCTCACACTTCAAACAGAAGTTTTGGGGATAACAACAAAGTGGAAGATCTGGTTCCTAGCTTGCTGGAGTAATCAAACAAATTCAAAGATTCTGGATACTGTTAAATAATATAAACCCTGGTAGAACTGGGAGAGTAGAATGCTCCATTCCTGTGTGTTTTTAAGTGGAAACATCCAAATATTGAAATTACCTTCAAAATGGAAATATTGAAATTTTTATCTTTATTATTTCATAGTTGTCTCACACTGAATTTGTCAGTTAACAAATTAGGTTAAATTATGCTAATATGGCCAACTTACATCTGATACCACTCTCACATCTGATCTCTCTGAAAAGTCCTATATATGACTACCAAAATAATACTCGGGGGTTGGAGATTTAGCTCAGTGGAAAAGCGCTTGTCTGGCAAGTGCAAGGCCCTGAGTTGGGTCCCCAGCACCAAAAAAAAAAACAAAAAACAAAATAATTCTCAAAGTATTATTTCAATCATGGTATGAACAAGTCTAAAGAAATTTCTTAAACTTCCAGTAGCTACTTTCTTTCAGAACAGAATATTGATGAGAAGACTGCAATTAGATATGTCCTATAACTTTACTGTACTGTTAAACTCTTTAAACTTCCTTTAGCCTCAATTTTATTTAAAAAAAATATTATCTAGACTAAAAAGTCTAGAAAGGCAAGTTGATATAGAAGAGCTAAGAAAGTAGTCCTAAATATTTTATACCTAGTTAGCTTTACCTTACCTTAGCTTCATTTTTCCTTACCTAAAAAATGAGATCATAATACTTGAACTATATGCCTCTCATCTTTTTGAAAACCAAATCAGATAATGAAAACACAATAAACTCTAAGAGTTACAAAATAAGCATACTATGGTAAGGCAATTGGAAATAAAAGAATGAATTTTTGTCCCAACTAAATCATGTATTATGTAGAATTAGTACTTTTCTTAATCTAAATATTAACTTTTCATTCGTAAAATAAGATTACTCTCATCTAGCTCAGGTTATATGTAGGTGATTTTGTAAAACAAAGTTCCATACAATCTGAGGTACTAAACATATAAAAGATAAGGCTCACTTTACTAAATTGCCTTTTCCCATGATCTCCACTAATTCTCATTCTTTTGCAAATGACCTTTCACTCTAACAAAACTCATGCAATGATTGTAGCTCAATGTAAAACTTGCTATCTGCCAAATATTTTCTTACCACATGCTAGATATGGTCTATACCCTTTCTCCTCTTTCATCTTCCTCTAGTTCAAATTCTCAAAAGCCTAGGTCAAAATTAACTTGATCTAATATCGTATTTCCTCTTGGCCAGTAGACTCCACCAGGGCCTGCCATGCTCCCCTTTTCCTTTCCTAACTTTAAATAAACCCCATTTACACCCACATGTCTTGTGATGGATTCTTCCCCACTGGACTGCTAGACACAGAGAATTTGGAAGTCTTCTGCTCACAGAATGCACCAGCGCCATTAACATTTTGTGGAGAAGCCAGCCAAGAGAAATGGTGAGCCCCCAGATCCTGTACCTTAGAGGGTCAGTTTTACTTTTTTTTCTATTCTTCCTTTTGCACAGCCAAGAGAATGGACTGAGCTCTGCCCTCAGGGAATGCAGCTGGGAAACTCAGGGTCCCTGGGACCCAGAAGTGTCTGTCTGCCCAACGCAAGGGCCTCCCTGTGGGTCATACTGTGGGGGTGAGGAGCCCACAGGACCCAGCGGTGTCTGTCTCCCTCTCCCTTAGGCAGAGGAGGCAAGCTAGCCATGGTAGCTGTATCCTCTGTCACTCAGGCTGGTTCCTCTGCACCCATCCTCACAATCTGTCTGGTGCTATAGCTGTTTTGCTGGTGAGTGAGGAGCATGCCCCACCAGACAAGCCTTGGGCCTTGTCTCTAAAGTGAGAACAATGGGATCAGATTTTAAGGTTAAAATATTTGCTAAGAAACTCTTAGGTTTGGATCCTTTTAGTCCCTGGGTTGATTTTCTGAGTTTATGTCATTGTCTTGTTAAGAGAGATATTGAGTGATCTACTGGTTTCAGCTCTAACAGGTAGAGAATTTCTGTTTAGGATTCCTAGCTTTTGCTCTGTCTAGCTCCTAAATCTGGATCTTTGTTTTATCAATTTAATTGTGAAAACCTCCCTGTTCCAGTTGATGTTGAGGGTGTGGATTACTGTTGGGTAAAAGACTGGATTAGGCTTTAGGGTAGTGGCTAATTTTAGAACTTCATGTGATAGCCTCTGGACTCTGGCTATCTGATCTTAAAAAGAGATTAGTGAAGTTAAAAAGTTAAATTACTTTTAAGAAGGGGGAAAACCTCAATGTTCAAAAGATAACAAAACATATGATGTAATTAATAGGGCTATAATTTAAAAGGTTATCTAAATCATTTCCTAAAATCAAAATTGAGCAAACTAACTTAAAGCTAGCATCTATGTAAGTATGTCTTTTCATTGATTGTAATACATTTAACACCCCAAAAATGTGTGGGCATATGTGTAAACTTCATTTAAATGCTATACAAAAGCTTACAGGTTTAACATTATATGTTTATTTTTTGTGAGGGATAACACTAACTCTAATGCTGTTGATTAATAAAACTTTGTTCTCTATAGCTCAATGTAGTATGTCAGATTCTAAACTTGCTTAAGGTCCTTTCCAAAATTTGGATCTGTAAATGACTGGGTAATATAAGATTTGGATTCCTGGCTTTCTAGGTAATAACAAAGCCCCTTTAAGAGGCAACCCAGGATCTGATTATAAATACCTGGAGTAAACTGAACAACAAAAAGCCACTCAAAGCTTAAAGGTTTACTGGCATTTGCCCTAGCCCTAATAATCCTAAATTTAGATAAGCTTTTAAAACTAAAAGACAGGACATTATATTCAAAAGGAAAAAGTTCTGCAGCCTATGACTAATTCTCCAAAACTATCAAATAATGTCACAACCAAGGAGACTAGCAAAACTTTTTAAATCCTACCTTAGTTTGCTTCAACTATTTGGTCTTTTTGTTAGGAACTCATAGGGGCAGTAACACCTGTCTCTTGGGGGAAGTGTCTTTTATTCCTGTAACAGATTGCTATTTTGAGCCTATATGCTGCATGTAACATGTCTTTGTGTTCCATTTGAGAGACTTTTGAGAGAGACCATGTGGTCACAGGAAATGCTGCCGCCATGATGGAGCCACCATGAGTTCAACACCATCTTGCCATCCTCTAAGAAAATTATAACTTGTGACTAAAATTCTCTAAATTAATATAGTTTTTATACATGTTTTTGACACATTAATCTGTTAAGGATTGGACAAAGAATAGAGTATTTGTGTTAAAGATCTGTTATAAACTATGTAAAAATCCAGCTGACTAAAGATAAAGATATGGTTTATTTAAGAGTACTCTCTGAATTAATGTGATTGTTTTGTATGTCATTGTATGCTTTCTGTGTATGTCTTGTTGTAGCAATATTGTCAGGAGAAACCAAGCAACACTCGGAGGAGTGGAGAACTCAGATTTTAATTTTTACGCTAGCGGGCCCAGACGTGTACCAGTGTCTGAGCCCCGAACAAAGGATTCACAGGATA